TATATATATATATATATATATATATATATATATATATATATATATATATATATATATATATATATATACATATATATATATACAATATTCTATAAATTCTGCGGAATCTTTGGCGTAAATATGTTTGTAGTTTGTTTTTTTAATTTTTTCTCACTAAAGTTTTTTGGTGAACGTTTAGTTTATTAAAATTCAAAATAAACTTATTTTCCGAATTCATGCTGCAAATAAGGCCATATTTCGATTCCTTAGTGAGAAAAATTGAAAAAACGAACTACAAACATATTAACGCCAAACATTCGGTAGAATTTATAGAATATTGTAAAAATTATGGTCTATTACCTATTACCAACATATATATATATATATATATATACATATATATATATATATATATATATATATATTATTACTGCGTTCGTAAGTGTACTTACATTGTTTGTATGCCCATTTATAGAATACTTAATACGACTACACGCACACTTGCATATGCAAATGTCAACACGAACGCTAAAGTCTTACGCAATCTCAAGCTAGGTCTGATAAGCAACGCTCCCATTTTCGCTTTTTTTTCTTCATTCTGCGTTTTAATTTTGAAGATGCTGTTCACCGCATCATTATAGTTTTTCTAGGTCATAAAATATGCATCTTCGTTTTAAAGATGCCGGCACAGAAAAGCAGCAAGTGCACATGCGGACACGCATGCAAACAACAAACAAACACAAACCCACACACGCACGCACACACACACACACACGCACATAATCAAACAGAACAACCCTCACTCACGTACTAAACACAAACGAGCACACTTCGCAACCTCTTAAATCAATGGCATGGAGCTTATAGGCCACCGAGCAGTATCACAATAAGAAATAAAATGCCTGACTGCTTGCTCTGTACAAATTCGTTCAGCGTACAAATTCGGTAGTAAAAAAATTTTTCTCCACCAAATGGTGATGCATTGGCATTTGCTGTCCTTAGCAATCTTCACTGAGATTTATAAAGCTTGCAGGCAGACGCAGCTGAAGAGAATTTTTTAAGTTTTGTGTAGTTTTCGTCGTTATGAGTGATGCCGGTGACGCTGGTGATGCTGGCGATGTCATGTCGGTAATGTTGATGTGGATGTTGTTGCTGTCATGATGTAACTGGTACAATGTTGATGATGAGATGCGATTAAAAATGATGAGATAATAAAAATAATTACTGTTATGATAATAACAACAAAGAAATATACAAAAGACCTGTAAAGTAGGGTAATTTTTATTTCAATTTTAAAATTTTTTAATGTAATAACGTCAGCAGCATTTGTGAACATGTTAACGAAATGAAAAAAATTGTATCACGTGCTTCGTATGCGCTGCGTACTTTAGCATGTATTCGTATAAAATGCTTGGGGAGCATTGCCGATTCCCTCTGAACTTAGGAAGATTGTAATAGACATTTGACCTTTTCTTTCCTTTAAATGATAATCATTTTATGATGCAGTTGGTTTTATGACGCGGTTTTTAACATTGTGGTTCTACTCTTTGGTGAGTGCCACAACCCGAAAGTGCAACTTTTTAAGCATTCATGTTCAAATTGTTTGGAATTCCAGCAGTTTCGACTATTATTACATTATGTGATTGAGAAATGCATTTCTTTCGTTCATAATTTTTTAAGTTCTGTCTGTCTAACTTTTTGTGTTATTATATTGACAAATTATTTTTAGCTTAAATTTTGTAGTTCTTATTAAATTGTTATTTCTTCTATATTAAGATAGGTTTCCCACGTTAAAATAATGCATGTCATTTCAATTTGACACCTACTTTCTGTTAGTTGATATATAAAATTGAAATAAAGACCTAAAAACGTTCACCTAAATCTTTTGACAAAAAGTTTCATTAACAAATTCACAACCACAATCTCTCAAGCGAAATATTATTTTAGTCATCTGAAAAAAACTAGTCACAAAAACTCACTAACCTAACAAAATTTTAGCCGGTGTTTCTGGGGGTAGCCAAAATGAGACCAAAGTGAGGACAGACAACAGAATGCAGGGTATGATTAAGATGAATACGAAGGTGAAAGGTATCCTTTTGAGCGTCAGGTTGAAGGTCAAATCAATGTAAGGTTCTTCACAGCATTTGTAAAATTTCAAATTTTTTATGCCTACGTAGTTCACCAGCATCCACTCGTTACTTTCCATGTAGTCACTGAGCTGTTGGATGAAAAGTTAGAGAATGTATTTGTGATGAGCGTTCCTCTATTTTCATATCTATCTAATAGGAAAAGCGATCGAGTGTGTATGTCATTCTGCAGACCAAAGCCTGACCTATTATAAATGTTAGCAGAAGGTCTTCCTTTCTTTTGCGTTTCTTAACATAGCGGTTAGTTAAATTATTTAAGTTAAATTTCAAATTTAACTGAAAAATTATTTTATTTTATAAATTTGTTTGAAATGATACAAATCTTTTCCATCATCATTGGTTAAAAACATCAAGTATTAAATCACTAGTTATTCCTTAAAAGAACTATTAGAGACGTTCTTTGAAATTGAAATGGCTTGAAGGCACTTGGATTCCAGTCTGGTATAAAGTTTGGTTTAAAATCAAATATTAATTTTTTTAAATTATTACACTGACTCCCAGTAAACGTTGGAATAACAAAAAATTGAAACTATTTAAAATTTCCTTAAATTCAAGATATTTTCGTTCATATGAAGAAACAAGATGGGCGTGAAGGAGCTTCTCGTGTAATAGAGTCCCCCTTTAAATCACGGGCACTGGCAGAACTGACCTGGTACATTTCAAAACGACCAACACGGTGCTGGGATGGCTAGTTTGCTTTAAAATTGTTTGTGCAACCACGATGGCCATTATAACAGCAGTGGACGACATCAAACGTTTCATAACTATCATCGCCATCGTTACCAAATAATGTAAATACTCACATCGGCACCCTTCTCAGCAGGCAGATTCAGGTCCAGTTTGTAGCCATCGTACGTCCAGCTCCCAAACTTTAGATGGCATTGTTGAACATCGAATGGAAAGTAGATGATGTCGATCCAGCAGGTAGACTTGAAGATGCCTGGAGGGTACCAGATGACGCTGCCTGTGTTTGATATGACGGCCAGTGCTTCACGGTGCTCCTTCAGTCGCTGGTCTGCACTGCATTGTGAACATGTGTGAGTGTGTCTTTGTGTGTGTTATTGGGTACGCGTGTGTTCGTGCGTGTATCACTATGCATGTGTTCCTGTGCGTGCGCGATTGTGCGTCTTCTTTCTAATGTGCGTGTCTTTCTGTACGTGTGCGTGTGTGTTTGTCTGTATGTATGTGCGTGCATCTGTATGCGCGCCTGTGTGTGTCTGTGTGCCATTGTGCGTGAGTTTGTGCCTGTGTGTGTGATTGGAAGTCTGTGCGTGTTTGTGTGTTCTTGTGTATGCATGTACGCAATTTGTGTGCGTCTCTGTGCATGTTGCTGTGCCTTGTCGATGTTTTTATGTGCGTGCTTTCAGTGTAGGTATTTGCTATTTTGAGTGCTGCGTGAATTTGTGTTAGTTTGAGTGAGTGAATGTTGCCGATAAAAAGAGTCCGGTAGTTTTCTTGAAATTAAAACATTAAGTTAAGTTATGAAAAGTTATGAATTTTTTTCCAAAATGAAATTACAAAAATTAAAAAAAATTTAAAAAAAAGTCCGTTAAAATTGTTTCTGAGAATGAAATAGATTGATTGCAACATTGCAATCAATCTATTTCATTCTCAGAAACAATTACGAAAGAACATTACGAAAGAAACACAACAACAGTTGTACATTGGCATAATAATTTACCATCGATACATTGCAATACGAAAAAAATTTTCGAAAGAGATTTTCAAGAGAAGGAACATAACAGTAAATAAGATAGCTGGAAGAACGTGACGGTGACTAACAAGTTGTAGAGAACAATATCTGGCTTCCAGATTTTCTGGATGGGGACGCTGATGACCTCGATGTCCCCGAAATCAGACGGTGACCAGCTCAACATCTGATCTTTCCAGTTCTGGAACAGATGGTGATGGTGAAGGTGAAGATGATGATGAAGATGATGTTGGTGATGAGGATGATGATCGTGACGATGAGGATGATCGTCATGATAATGAGTATGATGGTCGTGATGATGATGATGATGATGATGAGGATGATGATGATGGTGGTGGTTGTGATAATGATGATGATGATGATGATAATGATGATCGTGAGAATGATGATCGTGATGGTGATGGTTATGTGTGTGTTAAGATGATAAAATGGCGATGATGATAATGATGAGATGATTAAGGTATTCTTTAGAATCGAATTAAAAAATGATGATAAAGAATAATAATAATAAATATTATTATTATTAAATTATTACACAAATTATTGTATTGTATGATGGTGTTGTTTTGTATCATACAATACTGTAAAAAATATGGTCTCCTTCCAATATATATATATATATATATATATATATATATATATATATATATATATATATATATGTTCCCAATAGATATATATTTATATATATATATATATATATTTATTATAAAAATTATGGTCTATTACCAACATTTATTTATATATATATATATATATATATATATATATATATATATATGTGCGTGCGTGCGCGCGCGTGTGTGACGATAATGACAAAAGACAAAAAATATTGACGATGATGATATGTAATGATGATAATGATGAGGAAGATGATTATGATGATGAAGATAGCAATAATGACCATGACCATGATGCTATGATGATTTGGAAAAATAGTGATGACATTATGACAATGAAATTGGTGATGATATGTGATAACAATAAAAGATGTCTATAATAAAATATGAGGATGACAATTGATGCAGCGATGAACACGATGACGAATGATGATAGTGGAGCGATGATGACTGGATGACCACGTTGTTCAAATGACTCTTACGTCACCGCATAGTTCATTTCATGCTCCTCATTCCGTAGACTTAGACACTTAAAATAGTAATCGTGAAATCGTTGTAGATCCATTAATAACGAGGAACACTGAAAATTGTAACAAATCAGTAATAATAATAATAATAATAATAATAATAATAGCCATAAACAGTTATACAAGTAGAAATAATAATTCTGTTATAAACAGTTATATCGTTATACGGCATTAGAGGCGTATACAAGTTGGGGTGGGTCTTCGAAATTGAAGCCCAACCCCCCGCAAAACGCCAAATTTTGCTTGGGTTGTTGCTAAAATGAGCTGAAAAACTATTTCAGCCCTTTCAAATCAATAAAATGAAACTACTTAATGCACAAAGTCGCTGGATTTAATGATATAAATTGTAATAAACAGTACAATCGGTAATGTCTTTAAGGAAGTACGACGAAATTGTTATTGAAGATGTACTGTGCATGTACAATCAACAGTTGGCATATTACCAACTTTTAGAATTCGTCGTCAATTTTGAAAAAGTTTCCCCGCCTTTAAGAGTAAGTTAACAGAATCAAATATGGGAATGTATAAAATGGGATTTAAATATTGGTGTTGTTGTTTACTGTTGTAACAATTTCAATTTGAATTTACTTTTAAGCTATAAAAAGAGTTAGAAAGCGTGGGGTTTGAAAGAATATTCGTGTTGACCATGACAGCGGATAAGAAGCAGTTTTTTGATTTAGCATCTGTTTCGCAGATAAGAGCCAAGATTCTTTTCATCATACTAAACCGAATAAAGGCGGTTTAAAAACGATGCAGTAGTTTACGATGTTTAGAACAAGTGGACAACACTTTTGCTTTTTATGATTCCTTTTAATTTCCTCTTCTTAAAAAATTAAATGGAGTTGTGTTTAAAAAACACGATAAGCTTGTGGTTCAACATAAGTTGCAATAACTTCTTTGTTGCCGAATATAAATTATACGTTAATGCTGTTGATTTTCCAACTTCAGAGTGTGAAATGATTTTGCACGTGCGCGACGGAGGAAGAGACAGCCTCATTTTACCTGCATTGCATTACTCTCATTATCGTCGGAGTCGTTGAATACACGTTTGAGTTCGAATCCATGGTCATCATTGACGTCATCAGAGCTATGTTGAACGTCATCATTTTGGTTTTTAACACGCAAATAAACAATTAGTGATGAAATCTAACGCTAGAATCTATTTTATTTCTACCAACACTCGTACTTTCACATGCACAAACACGCACACACAACGCACACGTGCACGATTCATCATCAGATCAGTCTTTGCACGGCACATCCATCGTCTCATTCGGTTTCGTCCGAATCGAAGCATATTTTCACTTCATCATAAAAAAGGAAGTGGATTTAAGTAAGTTTTAAGTAAATCAGAAATTCAGTTAATTCATGTCAGTTGAAATGATAATGTTTAAAAATAGTAAATGTTAAAAATTTTCAAAATATGCAGATTATTATTTTTAAAATATGCAAGCAATTGCACGTTGAATGAGCTGGTGAGAAAATTTGTAGCTAATTGGTGAGTTTATGCTCCTAAAATCTTTCTCCAAAGTTACCAGCTAATGAAAAGATCTTTTTATTCCCAACATTTTTACATGTGTTACTGCAGTTGAGTGTATAAAAGAATTCACTCGAGTGGTTAGATTGTTGGTTGCAGTTCGCTAACCAGCCTACTTTTATCAACACAGCCATAAATTTCACTACCCAACCGAAGTACGAAATGTTCAATAATTCAAAACACAGAACAATTCTTTTTAACAGGGTCTATTCCAAGATATCAAATAAGCAACTTGTTATTTCAGAAATCCAAATATTTCCGTAGAATTAACGACTTTCGTATATTTCGTATATTCGTATAATTCCGTATAATTGAATTCCGTAGAATTGTGGGCACCAGTTGAAGCAATCAGGTTAGACAACTGACTGCAAACTCGTCACATGGCAAGGGGCAATCTCTGAAGTCAGAATAACGTTTTTGTTTAAATGTTCTGTACCAGGAATCTAATTGTATTACCTTCATATGGCTGAACGATTATAACCTACCGTAACTGAACAGTATTTAAATGTAGGTGCCTGGTACGGACACTGGTGTGAAATAATTATCAGAGCCCTCTCGTGACAAACTTTAAAAAAACCTGTTTCAAAGAAAGAAATTGATAAATTGCGACTGCCTTACACCAAGCATCATGTTGCTTGTTGTCGTGCTACGTTCTACTTACGTTCTACTGGGTGCCGTACAAAAACTGGACTGATGTGCACGACATGTAGTACATTCAATATTTACTTTGTTATAACTCTACGCTCTATATAATTATACGTATATTACACGCAGATAAATATGCATATAACATTATACATATTATTAGATATATCTATATAAAATATATATAAATAATATTTATTTATTAAAGTTATGTTGAAATAATGTTATATACATAATATGGTAAATACAAATGCACAAATAACGATCAACATTTTTCAATAAATTAAAATAACAATACTCAAAATTATGAAAAATAAAAATTTTTGATTAATTAACTAATTAATTAATTATTTAAATGATTAATAAATAAATCAATGAACAAGAACATGTGAGAACATGTGCACGTGCTATCAGTGATGACATCTATCACCTTATGAAGACAACAACAACAACAACAACAACAACAACAAACAACAACAACAACAGCAACAACACATCTGAACGTGTGACGTGACTACTTGATGTGTGTGTGTGTGTGTGTGTGTGAACGATGTTGCATCAATTTAAAATTTTATAAGGAGATTGGTTGGAAAAATATCATGGATTGTGATTGAACGTTGCGTTAATACTCTAATAAATAGCATTATCATCGAAACTTTATTTACACAGTATTTCACAAATCTCACTGCACGCATGTGAGTTCAACACACTCACTCACAAACAAACACACAAAAACACACAAACATACACTCACATACAAAAACACACTCACGCACACACAACACGATGTGTATGTAAACTGATATAATAAGGATAAAAGCAGAATAATCCTTTATTGCTAAATCTTTTATAAACTTTTTTTATACCGGCAGATATGTAAGTGAATATGCATTTCTTCGCTGTGGTTGTCTGTCTGTCTGTCTGTCTGTCTGTCTATGCAATTATATTTTTATTCAGTGCAGATTTCTGATTTGTTTTTAATTTTTACGGTTTTTACATGCCGACTAAAAACTTTTATACATTTTACATACATATCTATATACATAAATGTGTATGTGTGTGTTTGTCTGTGCGTGTGTGTGTGTGTGTTTGTCTGTGCGTGTGTGGGTGTGTGTGTGTGTGTGCCAGCTGAAGTGATTTATGTTGAGTACTTTTTGAAGACGATAAACAGAATAAACAAATTAGTAAATGAAGAAGGAGCCAATGCAATGATTAATGCATGCTGGCTGGTTATAATTCTCCAGCTTAAAGAGTGGACATCTTCAAATGTCATTCATCCAATTTTTCAGAAATTCATCGGAAAGTGTTGGCGTGTGACTTTTGAACATTTCTCATAAAAAATTTTATATAGTATTCAATTATTTGCAAAATAAAAATAGCGGAAAAATGCAACCCTGCAGAACTTTCAACATTTACCGCTCATAAATATTTCACCTCGTCGAGATTGCGCGCCAAATTTATTTTTCTTTTTTCATTACTCGCCTGCCGACAAAGAGGCCACCAGAAAGAATTTATTTTTTTTAATTTTCAAAATTATGCGCCATATTATTTTTTGCCACCCAGCCATCTAATCTCACTTTCACTTTTTTATATTTTTTAAACTCATTTTTTATTAATATTTTAAATTAGTTCACCCTTCCTCCGAACGTCTGCACGAGTTCATTTCTTTTTTTACAATTATTATGATGATTGATGGACTGAATAATGATTGTGAACAATAAAATACTGCAGTAGCACAATGCAACGCTGACCACGTAATGCGACAAGTACAATGCCGATTGTGGTAATAATAACTGCGTGAATTAAATAATAATAGAGACAAAACAATAAGAAGTTGCTAGAAGTAACAGAAGAACATTCAGAATGATGTTATTTTTAGCATTATATCCATCCATGCTGGAAATACTATCACACATTAAACTTGAACGTATAAGTTTATAGCAACACAATTTATGTAATACCCAGACTCAATACTGAATAAAAAAATGTTATGAAATCATAAATCAATTAAAATTTTGTTGACTGGTCATTATTTGCCATCCAGTCAATCATTTCTTGTGTACTCATCCATCAAGTCGATCATTTGTCTCTCTGCAGTTCGATCATCATCTGACGACATTAACATCTTTTTTTGCCAGTCTCGTTGTTCGTTGTTTCTGTTTTGTTGATGACATCCAGCAGAGGTTGGATGTCCACGATGTCCCTCGGGAAGATGGTGCAGAGTGAGACGATGATGGTGCCTATGTAGGCGTAGAAAAATATTCTATCTAAAACTCTAGCCACTAAGCGCCACTCTTTAGCATATTTAGCGCTGGTATCTTTGTTATCTAATCTTGTAATGTACGCTTTCAACATTTTCCTAATTTCTTTCACGTCGTTTTCGAGGACAGCACTGCAGCCGACCATGTAGATCTGATTGGCGTTTTGGTGGCTGGTGTCGTTGCTGCTGCTTACGTTGTTGGGCAGTGTGGAAATGTTTGCCGAGTCAATGTTCTGTGTTTGATGCTGGTACTGCTGCTGAGAGTAGAACTGTTGTTGCGCTGGGAGTTGTTGATAGTTCTGTGGGTAGTGCTGGTCGCTGAGTGGAGGTTGTGGATAGAGAAGTTGCTGCTGTTGCTGCTGCTGATGATGATGTTGCGGATACAGCGTGGACGAGTAATATGATGGCTTGTTTCCGGTCAAAACAGCTTCCTCGCTACTTATGTAAGGTTTAAAAACGCTACGCCTACCACCAGTTGCTAGGCCGCCTATGATTGGTTGGTCCGTGTGGGTGCGTAGGGGTGGGACCATCGCTGATTGGTGCATATAGAGGCCAGTTGTTTCTTTACCAGAAGTTGCAGCAACCGATGATAATGGAGCAGCTGCTTGAAATTTCTTGCTACTCCGCTGAGGTTGCTGTGTTGTAGCTGATGTAGATGCCGCTGTCGATGATGACGACGATGATTGTTTCTGCTGCTCCTTCTCTAAGAATTCAGACATGCACAAGACTCTCGCCATGCCATCAATTGCGATCTGTTGACATGAAAAGTATTGAAATGAAAATAAAGTTAATGTGCACGTACGGATATATCATCAAATTAATCACTATCCAATCAACAACGTAACGTTAAAAACGAATAACAAAAAAATGCTTAGCTATCCAAATAAACGAACAGATGGGGGAATTGTTTACTGCTGAGACAAAAACTTCAGCCTAATAAAGAATGAACAGGTGAACTTTAAACATCCAGGAGACATCGAGTAGGATATAAATACAAAATGGTCCGTGAATATAAAATGCAAATTGTTTTTATTCTTTATTTTTTTTAAAGATGACAATTTAAAATAACACGGTTTTTTTATTTAATTTCACCTCGGAATCTTATTGCAAAGTTTTTGAAAAATGTTTTGATGTTTAACAATTAATTTTGCTTGAGATTGAAACCTATGCTGGTTGTTCGTGTTTTAAAATCATCCAAACACAATCAAAGTTTTCCTTATAATGCAACAACGCACGCCTTTCAATGAAGCATCTCCATCATTATTTTCATTCCACTGAACTTATCCTACTCTACAATAGAATGAACATGAGGGGGGTGTCCAACATGACAGGCCACCTTTCAAAATTTTATTTCATCTGTCGTGATCTCAGAAGTGAAGAGAATGGCGTGTCGTCCAATTATGCTTTTCGTTTGTCATGTTCTTATTAGAAAAATAGAAAAAACATTTTTTATGATCGGCTTTTAATTTTACTGTGGTCTGGCGGTATGCGTGTCTCGTCTTATTGAATTTACAAACGTCAATGTCATTGATGTTTCTGGCGCTCTTGTTTGCATCATTTTTTTCTCTTTTTATAACCAAAACTCTTTGATTTTGTCGTTGCATAGATACAAATGTTTTGCAAGTAATTCTTGAGTACGTCAAGCAAATTTAATTGTTCAATGTACACATTTGTTTTGGTGTTCGTTAGTGGTTAAAAGATAACTTGTCTGTACGAGTGAATGTCGTTTGAGACAAAAATTACATCAATAAAATATTTTTTATTAAAACAAAAGATTTATAGGCAGAATAATAATTAATTGTAAGTTAATAATTAATTTAAGTGTAACAAACATAAAAAAAAACCGTTAAGGTTTTTAAAACACCAAAGTTGAAAATAATTTAAAAATTTTTCAAATATTAACCATTTTTAGCCAAGCTGGGACTTTGTTCTTCCTGTCACCTCTCACGTGATTCTGAATGATGATGACCGCGAGGAAGGTCGAGAGGGTGATGAGGATCATGTTGGCACAGAAGTAAGCTCCTGGCATCGTCAGTAGTAGAAACACAATTTAAAAAAGATCGGAAAACTATTTCAAACAGAAACAAATATAAACCATAAAATTTCTAAATGTGAAAGCAGCGTCTCGTGAAGAATGATTGTTTCTATTTAGACGCAATTACGGTTAAAATCAATTGTATCCAAAGTTTTAAACTGTGAACATCATTTTGTAATTAAAAGATGTTTTTAAACATTCAGAGTCCTAACCGATGAGAGGAATGGAACAAGCAGCTGGGGGTGTGCTGTCAGCCAGGAGAAGAAGCAGGACGAAGAAGGCTACAAAGACACTCATCCCTTCATACACCATCAAATATTTAAGGTCGTCATTAGTACGACATTCGAACGAGAATTTTTTTAATTTTTTGAAAATATTATGTAAAGTAGTATCTAATTTTTCATAAAATATTAAATTTAAAAAAAAACTTCCACAAACCCAGCATAACTTTTGCAGGCGATTCAGGTGGCAACCAGAAGATGACAAGAGTCAGGAAGGATAGGAGGACACATGGTAGGACCAGAATGTAGTTATAAAAGACGGCCACCCTTCGAATGATTACAAAAAATGTCAAATCTGGATATGGTTCTATCAGTCCGTAATAATATTTCACATTCTTCTTTGCTCTGGAATCTAACAATTCCCATTCGTTACTGCGAACGTAGTCGGATATTTCGAATTCATCTTTATCGTCTAAAAAGTTGACATCCAACTTATAGCCGTCGTAAGTCCAAGAGCCAAATTTCATTTTGCAGACTTGAATGTCGAACGGGAAGTTAGTTATATCAATGTTGCATGTGGATTTGAAGATGGCTTGTGGTAGCCAATCGACAGTGCCGTTGTTGTTCACCAGTACCATGGCGTCCCGGTGCTCCTTCAGACGGATGTCTGCGCTGTCAACAGGTGGAAGTTGGTTCATTTTGAGATTTCAATGGTTTTAATGATTTTGCGTTACGTGAATAGTTTTACTTTAATGAAGATCAGAGTGCAAAAAGGTTTATGAGACATTTTAAAAAATAATTTATCTTTATAAACAAAAAATTATTTTATGTTTTCCGATAATTTTGGGCAGTAAAATTTTTGTTAATGTTCAACGACAATCACGTGACGCTTTCCTGAAAAATGTACTGTAAGCTTGCATATCAACGTAAACATAAGTAGAACAATATATATAAGCATCTTTATTAATGTTAATGCATTATTTGCAGCATCTGTTCAATTTTTTAATAATTTCATTGCTAGTGAGAATTATTTGAACTTTAATAAACTTTGCATATTCATATTTACAACAGAAAGAATAAAATAGATAATTTGCGTTTAAATCTGTTTCCATTTTAAATCAACGTTCAGTAATGTTCGGTCATTTCGAAATTTTTCGGCTGGAATGTTTTTACGACCCTGTTGCTTATTGACGTTTCATGGGTTTCGGGCAGTAAAAAAATGAAAACAAGTTTCCAAAAGTGTTTGTGCGGACGGCTTTGTTTGTTTGTGTGTGTGTGGATGTGTTTGTGTGTGTTTAGATGTGAGTAGATGCGTTTGTGTGTGAATTTGGATGTGTGTAGATGTATTTATGTGTGATTTTATTTGTGACGAAAACCTTGAAAGCAGTTAAAGCGTCAGCACGTCACTGTTGATTGTGACTCTTGTTTTTAAACTACTTGACTCAAACTCGATGTGGCATGAGTATTGAGTTGTGTTGTCACGGTGCTTTCAATACATGAAAACTTTTGATTTAGGAACAATAAAAGTTCTCTGATGACTTATTTAGACGTTTGGGTTACTCAAGTTTCATTTTAATTGTTTTTCCAGCAATGACTCCCCAGTTTACAGTAGCAATGATTCGAGGCACTTCTTTAATTTTTAAAATTTTTCAAAAAAAACATTCTTTTTAATCTTTTAAAACGATATTTAAAATCCGATTAAAAATAAGCCAAAATGAGATGTGCAATGATTGAAATAGCCTGTCCTTATTTTCAAAAAGAAAAAAATTTTAATTAACGAAGTAAATTCGAAAATAATAATTCTCTCAATGCACATGCCTTACGAAGTGAAATGCTAGATATATTTTTAGACATTCCGATATATTTGTATATATATATATATATATATATATATATATATATATATATATATATATATATATAATATACATATAGATATTTATATATACACTATTATATAACCTCGTGCGTGATCGCCTTTTATATTTTCACATGAAAATAATTATCTGAAAATTACACTTTAAATGTTCTGAAAATTAGTCTAGAGATGAGACATGGGTATGTACTACAGAGATTATAATTAAACAAACATCCATCATTATATCTTTTTCCCATCATCATCTTTAATGTCTGGCAAACAGCATTACCTTCATCACTTCAATCATCATCGTCGTCCTCATCATTCTCATCATCCCATCGTCATCATCTTCGTCATAATGGCACCATCACCATTATTATTTTAACTCACCTCGTGACGATTGACTCCCAGTTGCAACATTTTTATTATATTATTGCCATCATCATCATCGTCGTCATCGTCATCATCATCATGGTGGAATTTCCAATTCTTATTATCACCAATTTAACATCGTCAACCATACCACAACCAATCACATTTACTTCATTTCAAGCAACTCTTTAATAACTTCCACCATCATCTCCATCATCATCATCATCATCATCATCACATTCATCGTAATCATCATCATCATATTCATCATAATCATAACTTATTTACATAATCATCATCATGCTCACTATGTTAAATAATATTATTATTGCTATCATTTATATTATTGTCAATTTACTATGACCATTCTAAAATGATATCAATCAAGAATGAACTAACTTAAGCATTACCCGTCAAAAAAAAGATTCCTTATGGTGACCAGTTTTCCCCTCTAATATTCAATTTATACTTCAACCCCTCATGACAGTTTTTAATACAGAGCAGTATGTCAGTTGTGGCTATTTCTGGAGACCAACTTCGGGTTTAAAGACTAGATCCTAGCTTCACTTTGTTGATGATTCAGCTATAGTTCAGCATAGTTCTGCAAGTGCACAAGAATTGATAGACCTAAACGATGCGTGGTGCTCGTGGTAGAACATGCTGATGAAAAATGACAATAGTCACTCCTTTGGTACGAGGAAGAAAAACGCTGATTATCAACAGTTTCTACCAAAGATAACTGTCCAAAATACGGCCCTTCCAAATGTCAAGATTGGTGACAGTTTTATATGTTTGGGCAAATTATGTGATTGTGAGTGCAGCGACAAAAAAGCTAGAGTATCAGTTAAAAACAAAATTAACAAAACGCCTTAAGACCACCACGATTTTGAACGTCACTTCTCAGCAAAAACTACAAATTCTAAGTTAATTCATTCCAACTCACTTATAATTTGAATTTTGAAATTATAACCTCTCATCAACATAGGTCTCGACAAACCTTGAAGGTTTAATTAGGGAAAGCGTTAGATAATGGCTGACCCCGCCAATCAGTGGCTATGTGGCCGAGGTGCTCTCCCTGCCGGACAGGTACTGTGGTCACAATATCATCCCATTGAAGGACACGTCGGTAAAGACAAAAGTCAAAATCAGAAATTATTTAAAATAGCCTCGGTGAAACTATTTGTTTGTGGCGAGTAACATAAAACAAATTTCGAAAAATTTGATAGGATGCAGGCGGAGTCAGGTTCGGTGAAACTGTCACTCATATTGCTGGAGGAAACACAAAATGACATCCAGCCTGGACCATGTGTTTAATCTCCAATGCCAAGATTTGTTAATTAAAGCAATAAGTGAGCAGATTTCTCCATCACAAACGTCGCGTTGGTCAAAGATCGTCGAAGGATTACCGGGAGTGCTCTATAAGTTGACTAGAAAGTATTTAATACAACAACTTCCCACTGATGCAAACTTATTTAAATGGGGTAAGTCAACAACATTTCTATGTCCACTACGCAGTCATCACCAAACAAACAAACATGTTGTTTCGAACTGTGACTCCACAGCGGCTCTCACCAGGTACACGGATGGACAGGCATAACAAACTGCTGTCGTTGGTTGTCAACTGGTTAAGGATTTTTGCACCATCAGACTGTTGCATATTTGCTGATCTTAATGCAGAAAATGTACGTCAAATGTCACAGTTGTTCAACAAATTGTGGTAGGACATTGCCATTCTCCAAAAAAAAAAACAAAATCGAAATTTTAGAACTTTCCATTTGCTACGAAACCAACCTAGCTTTCTCACGTGAATACAACTGCCAGAAATTAAAAAAAAAACAAGAAATTAAACTTAAATTCAGTCTACAATAACTGTTCGTTAATTATTAATTCATTTGAAATATCACCTGTTGGTTTCTATAACAATCTTAATCTAACTTTGTTTAAAATATAATGGCCGAAATCTTTTAATGAAAAATTGATTAACGCGGTAATTCGCTCGTCATATAGCCTATATTGTGACAGAAACACTACTTAACCGATTTTAAATATATCATTTTACTCTCGAGCACTTGTTGATAGGAGAGCATGAGAGGATCGTACATTATATTTTACTTCTTATTTATTTACACTCTGATATATAATTAATAATTTTCGATTGATTTCATTTGGATTTTAATTTTTTAGTTAATGAAAGAATGTTCTCAGTATAAAAAAGACTTCTCATTCACTAATTACACAGCACAAAATTGATCACCATTAGACATAACAATTATACTATGATAGTAAATAATAATTATAAAATTATATAATTATACCATCATAACCAGCATCATCATCAACATTACCCAAACAACATCATCACCAACATTATCCCTACCACCACCCACTCACTAGTTATAAAGGACAATGTCTGGCGTCCATATCTTTGAGCTTGGGACCCTGACCAGTTCAATGCCCCCGAAGTCCTTTGGGTCCCATCTCAACAGCAGGTCATTCCATCTCTGGACATTTATTAGGATTGGTTGGTTAGTCAATTTTTTTATTTCGTTTTAGCTTATTGTTTGTTACTTTGAATCAAATCATTGAAGTTTTTAACAAATTTAAACGTTTAATCAAACTCGAATGATTGATTAATTGATTGATTGATTGATTGGTTGATTGGTTGATTGGTTGATTGGTTGGTTGGTTTGTTGATTGATTGATTGATTGATTGACTGAGTGATTGATTGAGTGATGGATTGAGTGACCAAACGCCTGGTTGATCTAACGAGCGGATGATGCTTGGTCATTTGATTGATTGAACTGGCTGGCGGTGATGCCAGCACTAACAAATTGTTCGATTCGCTGATTTGTTGAACCGCAATTTAAAAGGCGGCCAAGCGTATCCAATGTTGAATTTTATTAATGTCATTAATGTCACTGATGTTGTCAACGTTAGTAATGTTCTTAATGTCATTGGTGTTGTTGATGTTATACTGGTTATGGCTGTTTATCGTCAGTTTCATAATGAAATCTTCCCATTAAATAATAAATTAGAAGGTAATATGTAATAAAATATTTTTTTGTTTTGCTGAAAATAAAAACTAATAATGTTTTTGTAAAATTTTATTCAACAGAAAAACTGTTAAAAAGAAGGAAACAGTCTCCAACATTGAGAAGAATGAAAATATTTTTAAACGAACATTTTTTTTAAATGAACATTTCGCCTTTTAGAAAAATTCTTCAAAGTCTAAAAATAAAATTGAAAGCCACAACAACAACAGCAGCAGAAGCAGAATGCAACGAAATGCAATACAATGGAATGGAAATAAAAATGTAATTCATGGACTACAAGAGGCTGGAGAGGTCTGGGAATAGAATGAAAGGCATTGTTACGCATCCCATTCAGAACAATGCAGACTGTTCCACTGGAGTTTCAACAGAAGCAAACAAACACGTGCTCTCCACTCGTTGCGTTCCATTCTCTTTTTAGAAATTTTAAAAATAAGATTATGAATTTTTTAAAACTCTTCAACATCGCGTCAAAAAAAAATTTTTTTGTTTGTTCTGAGCTTTGCTTGAGTCACTTGCAAACACCATCCACATTTTAAAAATATTTCGGAAGGGCAGTTGTAGTTTTTGTTTTAAATCATTAGAAAAATTTCAACTCGATTTGAAAAATTTAAATCAATTTGACAATTTTCAAAACTATCAAAAAGTTTGAAACGCTGGTTGTCAATCAAAAGTTTATCGCCACTTGAAATGTTTTGGAAAAAATTGAAAAGATTTCAAGGCTTTTTGCGATTGGAAATATGACAAAAAATAATAATAAAGAGAGGGAAATTGAAGGGACCCAGCAGCACAGCGGTGTTGTATTGCATGCACCTCTGCATCTCTCGATGTCGTCAGTTGACTTTTAATTGTGTCATTTTTTCTAAATCTCTGCTTACGAAATCCTGAAAAATATTACCACTAAAAAGAGAAATTTTTTTACGTTTTTCTGGCATCATCACCCACCATGTGTAACCCAAGCATCGCCCGATACAAAAATTAATAATTAATTATTCAATTTATTTATCAAATAATGGCAGAAAATATAAAAATATTAATGACTATAAACGTTATAATACACAGATCTTTTTAATAAGGCAGGCATTAAAACATTTCAAACAACACAACAACACAAGAAGCCCAACAACACCAACATATCAGCACTGTTCCATACAATACAACATGCCAAACCACATGGCAAACCACACAAACAAACAGCAGAGCGAGTAGGGCTTAGATGAATACAATAGAATACATTTGAAAGGACGCTCGTAAAGAAGAACTCGCACAAATAGAGCAGGAAAACGTTGCAATTTCATTAAACTTTAAAACATTCAAACGAATGGAGACAAATAAATTCACTAACCTTTAAGCGGTAGAAACGAATTCACGAAAACCAAGAACAAATTTTTAATTTTTTTTTATATTTTAAACAGAAAAACTCGTCGCTAAGGGTAAACATTTTACAAAAATATTTATTCAAAATAAACTGGATAAAAAAAACCTCTGCAAATAAAATTTTCATGGTTATTTTCAGGCGGGAAATGTCCGGCTAAAAGCTGCGATAAATATCACTAAATGGCAGAAGTTGCCTGCATCTGACCAAAGACAATGCCATCAATTTTGGTATCATGGTAGGTAATACGGTAGGCAGTTTGCGGTACAATATACTGACTACGTATCATGTATTTCAATTTACGCCAATGTAGCAGCACTGCTTATGGGATGACGCTACCAATGAGGTGTAAAAAGATTGCAATTTCATTACGATGCCATGAACAATTGTTATTATATTAAACATAATTTTTATGATATCACAAAATGTATCATACTAATAGTTTGATATTATGTGTATTTGTATGATACCATACGTATTTTTTCTAGATATCGCGATCATTTTTGTGGGGATATATGGGTATTATTGGTATAGTGAAGGATATCGATAAGCAATCTTGCTTCAAAGATAGCAACATCAAACACGTTAGATCAGCAATGTATCTAATTGAATTATTGATTTATCTGAGATTTGTTTTAATTAATTGTAAAAAATAATTTTAAATGATATCAAGGAATATCAAGACTAAATATATTGTTCACGCATCACTCACCTTAGCATCATTACCTATTAATTTCATGTTACATTTCATCGTCGTCATCATCATCGTCATCATTATCATCATCATCACGTCGTCATAACTATCTTCACAACGTCCATATCAACATCGTCTTTGCCATCTTTTATATGATTATGTGATTATGATTGCCATTATCATCATCGTCATCACCATCACTTTATGTTCATCAGCAATATCATCTTACCATTATCATCATCATCACCACAACACCATCATCATCGTCATCATCATCATCATCTCACTCACATATTTGCTCCAAACGTTCGTCGTTAGCACTTGGTTCTTCTCGTCCAGGTCCAAAATTTGAATTAAAGATAGGCCGTAGAACACCTTATGATGATGATGTTGATGATGATGATGGTGATGAGGATGCTGATGATGATGATGTTGATGAAGATGTTGATGATGTTGATGAAGATGTTGATGATGTTGATGAAGATGTTGATGATGTTGATGAGGATGTTGATGATGTTGATGAGGATGCTGATGATGTTGATGATGGTGATGATTTTGTGATGTAAAAGTTACATTTGATGATCGAAACATATAAAAAAAAACAATCAGACATGAGTTTTTTAACATTTACAAGCGAACAAGTGGACAAAAAACAAAAAGAAAAAAATTAATGAAAATACAAACAAACAATCAAACAAACAAATCAATAAAAATACAAACAGGCAAACAAACAGACGAAGAAGAACCTCAATGGTCTGTGAAGTGTTGTATACAGGCCTACCGACAACCCCAACTTTCTCATAGTTATCCAGCAACTGCTTTATCAACTTCTTCTCGTCTGATAGTGTCGTTCCTGTGATGTAAATGATGGTGGCGATGATGGTGATGTAAAAGGTGATAATACAATGATAGTGGTGAAAATTATGATGGTGGCGAAACTGATGATGGGGATGATGTAAAGGTTGATAATACAATGATAGGTGATGATGATATGATTACATAGATTATGAAGCCACACAAACAATCAGCCAGTCACCAAGTTAAACAACCAACCGAGCAACTTAAGTGTATTTTTCAAAAAAAAACCCAATCAATTAAACAAACAAACAAACAAACATACATACAAACAAACAAACTAACTAACAAACAAACAAACTAGCTAACAAACAATCGCATGATTCTGACATTTAATTTCAACAAAAAACATACAGGCTGATTTCTATATTTTTCACAAAAGACAACACTGTAATGGCTTCTAAACTTTTCATTGTTGAGAACTGTACTCTCATTTCTTGCATCACTTGGTAGTAGAAGTATTTGAAATGGTGGATTGATTTGAAAGATTTTAACCAGCTATGGTACACAGTGAGTGTAGTTATTGTGATGCTGTTGTTGTTGTTGTTGATGCTGTTGTTGTTGTTTTTGTTGCATTTACCACACTCTAGTGTTAGTGACAAATCGAAGACATTTGCATCCAAAAGCACATCAATTTTTTAAGGAATTCAAAATAGATACAACAACAAAACTGCTAAAACTACCGCTATACAAGCAACAACGTTGGTTAACAAATTAGCTCCTGTACACTCCACACTCCAACCACAACTATGCCAGCCTCCACAAACAACAACAACAACAGACCATTATTAACAAAAGTTTCATTTCCAAAATGCCTTCACAACTGATGTTCATCAGCAGAGAAAGAAAAATGTATGATTGCCAGCAGTGTAGAGGCAGACTCGATGCAGATGGAAGGAAAACATTTTCTATCGTTTCATTCATTTATTTGTTCACATTGACAACACAACATAAGCTGAAACAAACATGACAACAACATCAACCACAGCAACATCAGCCGCAACAACAACTACAACAACCACAACAACAACTACAACAACCACAACAACTAATTCAACGACAACACTAATCGCATCATCTGCAATAGTCACAAAAACCACAAAAACAACAAACGCAGGAAAAAAAACAATGTCACCAACAACACTCACTAGCACCAAATCATTTACAACAACCGAAACAGCAACTACAACAAAACAGACAAGTCTCAACAGAAATTACAACAACAACATCAGCAACACCAACAACAACTACTACTACTACTACTACAACAATATCATTAACAACAAGATTAAAGAGAAGAACAACAATGGAATAAGTTCAAAAAATACTAACTGCGATGATTATGATATGAACGCTGTGAATTTTCTTTTGGATATTTGAAGAAAAAAAACTTGAGCTTGGTGGAGATAATGGGTTTGTTGTTTATGGTGCAAGATAAAAATGCAAAAACATTCGCACAACAACAATAAAAATAAAAAAATACAACAAAATCTAACAACTACAGCAGCAACGACAACAACAACAACAACAACAACGGCAACAACAACATAATAACAACAACCTAACAACAACAACAACATAATGACAACAACACCAATTAAAAAATAACATAGCAACAACGTCAAAAGCAACAAAACACAAAAGCCACAAAAAAACATTAAAAAATATCAAAATCAATTACACATAATTTTTTGTCTTGCGTGTTTTTTGTTTGCAGCTATATACTCCACTTATGTTTTTGGCCAGTTTCACAAAAATTATAAAAACACATTTTTTTGAAATGCATACAAAAAATAATAAAATCCATAAATAAGGATGTTGCTTAGCTTCGCATAGTTAATTGTCTAAATGCACCGCAGGAAAATTTGGGCATCTCGCACCTCAGTAAACAGTAATTGCTTCATATTAATAACATTTCATCTTTCTCCCCAGAGAAAAGAAGGGGTAGATACGAAGTGGAACGATGTATGTGTTTGTATGTGGCTGCTGGTAGATTTAATTTCTTTTTAAGACTCCTAATCAAGTTCACTGGAAACCGATCCGAGTCCTTACATCCTGTTCCTACTCTTCTTCATCCTTCTCATCATAATCAACATCACTGACAACAACGTTATCACCATCATCATCATCTTCTTCACCACCAACAACAGCATCATTATCATCGTCGTCATCGTCATCATCACCAACATACAGCATTAGCAGGAAAATTTGAAGTAATTACAAATTGTCTCGACGCATCATTAGTCACAATTACTTGGCATTATAAAGAATGGTTGGTTGGTTGGTTGGTTAATTGTTTAAAAAAATTTTCATTACTCCAGCTATCATTGCAATAATAATACTGGAATGCATCATATTGTTATAAATTTAGGATCAGTTCGTTGTGACAATGCTAATGATGAAAAAAATGGTTTTGTTTTCAAAATTATACTCCCAGTTTTTTAATTACTTTCACTAACGTTCCAGCCACCGCTAATACATCCGCTCTAATAGGCGGACGAAGAAGACAACAGCACTAATAAACTATTTTAGAAACTTTTTGTAGTAAATTTCTTTCTTAAATGATGCAATTTCTCTACAGCTCAAAAATAAATAGTAGAGTGATTTAAACAAGTTCTTCCTAGGAGCACGAAGGAAGAGGTGGCCAACTTTTCAAGGACCTTCAGCCTTTAAACGCAACGTTTCAAATTTGCGGCTGGTTGGTGAGTTGGCTCAGACTGCAGGAGTGCTATGTTTCGTGCTTTCACAGTCTGCTGAGTTGATTCAAACGTTCTCTTCCTATTCAGGACTCCAAAAATATCACAGATATCTACCTATCAGAGATACCTACCTATCAGAGATATCTACCTATCAGAGATACCTACCTATCAGAGATATCTACCTATCAGAGATACCTACCTATCAGAGATATCTACCTATCAGAGATACCTACCTATCAGAGATACCTACCTATCAGAGATACCTACCTAGATCCAGCAAGTCGTACGGTGTGGTGGGTATGTTGCTGCTCTTGTGCAGCTAACAAGTCAAATTTCAAAAAAGGAACTATTTGTAAACAGCTCTAGTGAAAGTGAATGATGTCTCATTATAAAACACAAAACATCCATGCCACTCTCCGTCGCTGCACCACAAAGAGCCAGCAATTACATTAACAGAATTCAGAATGGGAAAACCAAATACAACAGAACACGCATGCAATTATTTGCAGTTGGAGCGAGTGGAAGCATAAAAAGCAAACACGACAAGCAGGTCGCGCACAACAAGCACACATGCACACATGCACACATGCACACTTGCATATCAGCATTTATAAAAATAATACTTATGCACAAACAAGTGCACGCAAACAACTTTACACAGAACCCCGACAAAAGTAAAAACACTGAAAAACAATTAAAGAACACAGACATACACACATTTCTAAACATATAAATAGTCATACAAACAAATAGGCTAACACACTATTATGGGACAAAGAAAAACACAAAAAACTAGATCCGTAGACAGACAAACAGCTTGTAACACGGACAGAGAGCTAGAGAGACACAAACAAGCAGACAGACAGCCACGACGCAGACAGACAGACAAACATACAGACATACAAACATACTGGC